AGGATAATAGTGCTTTTCATAAACTTTTAAGGAAAACTTTAACAGTTAAGATAGAATTGTTAGTTTAAGAGTAATAGTTGTTCAACTTTGGTTAAAGAAAATTTCTAAGCTATTGAAAAAAATCCTGAGAAGAAAATATGAACAGTGATATAGATAAAGTTATTGTAGCGTAAAACCTTGTATTGCAACAAAATCTGAAAAACAAAACTATTTAAAAACATCAACAAAATATCATTAGTTCCACAGCGCTACCACGAGTACTAACGGCAACGGCTTCCGAGTCGCGCTAAATTTACGTTTTTATAAAAAATATACAAGCACTTGAAAAGATCGAGTCCCCTGAAGCTTGTAAGGCCCTTCTGGCCATAAGCATGAACTACAGATTGCCAACTGCAGGCCCGTGTGTTTTAGTCAGTAAGAGTCTGACATATATATGGATTTCACACGCTCCCCTGACTGAGGGAAACTTAAAAAAAATCGGCCGTTATCATACGTATCAAAATAATAATAATATCGAATTGATTTTGAGTTTGAGGCGCAGTTTGACTTTAGTTTAGGTATTTTAGTTGAGATACATAGATTAATATTAATTGGTATTTCTAATTTCCGATATAGAAAATAAAGACTCATGCTCAAATATATTGTGGTAACTGCAGGCAACTAAGGAAACCTACCAAGACACGCACTTGGCCAGTCTTTCAATAATTTTCTTATGCTGATTTGTTATTTTAAAAAGCTTGTTTTAAAAAAACTTAATCGTGCAGCTTATAACAGATTTATTAAAGAAAGATCATTAATATATGTACAAACTGTTTTTTTACCGACTTCAAAAAGGGGAAGTTCTCAATTCGACTTTAGCTTTTTTAAACTTTTGTTTAAGTATATACATCTTACTTTAATAATAGTGTATAATAAATACTTTCTGATCTTTACAATCTAGGTTCTTTACCCCAACATTCAGTTTTGTTTTTACCATAATTATCATATTTTTTGTTGTATTCACATGATTTTTTCATATGGGACTATTAGTTCCTGAGATTAGCTCGATCAGCCAAACAAACTCATCAGCTTTATAATATTAGTACTTATAGAAGTGTGTTCTTATTTTGAGATTTACGTGACATCCCTTATGTACGAATGTGCCATTCCCAGCTAAAATAAAAATATATGTATAAAGATTTAGATTTTTTTAATATTCTAAGCACCACATGATCACTCATAATATCATAATATCTCTTGCGGAGCTGGTTGAGCATCGATGCGTCTAAAATTTTAATTGAAATTCAAGATTTTGATGTTTTAATATTGAGGAATACCAACTAAACCACTCTGGTACATTGAGCTATTTGAGCGGGAAAGTTAAAAAAATATTGGAGGCTAACCGTGCACATACCACCCTGTTACCTATATGTTAAAGGCTGAATCTTAAGAGGCTCAAGTTTCGCTGTCCGGAGGAATAACTACCCGTAATATTATAACAAGGATCCAAAATATATTTTTATGCTACTATAATGTATGATATAACTGATGCATGATAATAATTATTTTGGTACAAATAGCAAAAACTAGCCTAAAGGACTAACATTTGACATACCCTGGCGCGTCCGCTTCACAAACTACCGGCAAAACACCAACTTATTAACGAAAATTAAATATATAATGCGGTTTAAGCGGTTTAAATAGCATATTGGTACTCGATTTATGAAAAAAATATAGTGTATGTAAGTATTCTAATTCCTATGATTCTGATTCCCTTCTTGCCGTCTTTTCTTGATTCGCCTTTCACACAATATGTAACTTGATTTATTTTCGAAAACAGTCGGCCAAGTGACGCATGCCTATTTGATAGATATGCTTATGATAAAGTAAAACTTTATTTATTTTTTGTTACTTATACGATGGTTGGTAATGGATGGTTGATAGTTTAGGTGTTATTGGATATAGCACATACATTCATGCACCTTTGCACCTTTTGTTTTGTTTGTTGTCCTGAACGATTCCCCTAGGTCCCTGATTTTATGACTTCCTGCATGAGCGTAGAATTCGTGTCCTTACGGATGGTAGCAGTTCGCGGTTCATGTCAGTGAATGCCGGCGTTCCCCAGGGCTCCGTCCTATCCCCCACTCTCTTTCTGCTGCATATCAATGACTTAATTCCTCTTAGGAATATTCTTTGCTTTGCAGGCGATAGTACAGTGCATGCTGGGTATCTCGGACACGCAGCGGTTGGCAGGTGGTAACCAAGGAGAAACGGGAGAATCTTGTCATTGAACTCAATCAAGCTTTGGACCACATTTCCGAATGGGGTACCAGGAACTTGGCTGAGTTCAATGCCAAGAAAAGTCAGGCTTGCGCTTTCACGGCAAAAACATCGCCCGTCCTTCCCCTTCCCTCCCTTCAAGGCACAACACTGGCGCTGCAGAGCCACATTACCATGCTCGGTATGGAAGTTCGCTCTGACCTGAATCCAAAGGACTACATCGAAACCGTGATCAAAACAACTTCACGCAAACTCGGAGTCCTGAACAAGGTGCGGCGTTTTTTCACGCCCGATCAACTATGCTTGTTGTACAAAACGCAAGTGCGATCCTGCGTGGAATATTGCTCGCACCTCTGGGATGGCTCCGCCAAGTACTTGTCCGATGCTTTGGATAGGTTACCGCGGCGCGCAATCCACATTATAGGCGATGAGGAGGTGACTAAACACCTTGAGCCTCTTCAATTACGCCGTGACGTGGCGTCACTAAGCGCGTTCTATCGTCGGTACCACGGAGAATGTTCTGAGGAGTTATTCTCTCTTATCCCACCTTCCCCTTTCCACCACCATCACCCACGTGCGCTGGCCTACGTTGTCACCGTCTAACTGTGGCCACAATTAAAACGCGTACAAAGAAATTTGGTGACTCATTTCTTTGTCGCACTATCCGTAAATGGAATGCCTGCTCACGCGTTCCCTCCCTCTTACAACCTGGGACCCTTTAAAAGAGGTGTGAAGAAGCAACATGCAAGCCGGCAGGGTGAGGATGGCTGGTGTGGTAGGTAGAACTGCTGTATCAGCTATCTTCGCGTCTGGACTTCACCTTCAATTAACATCAGGTGGGGTGGAGTCATTTGTCGGACCAATCTATAAAAAAAAAACTTCTCAGTGGAGCTGTGATGTTTTAAACTCAAGTGCTAACTTTTAAAAGGCGGTGGAGGCAGACGTTTGTGTGAATAATACGAGCATTTGTACTTCGGTCATGGATGTATACTATATGTATTTCTATATAAATATACCGTATATGTATTCTATTCGTTACCCTAGTATCCCATAACACAAGCCTTACAGTGCTTACTTTGGGGCTAAGCTAATTGGTGTGAGGGTTGGAAATATTTATTTATTTCTACAAAAGGATAAATCAATTAAAATTCATCTTCCATATTATGAAAACAACCAAGAGCAGGTAACTCAGGCATGAATTTTTATATATTGTAAGTAGATTTATATCTAGAAGTTACCTTCCCCAGGCGAAAGATAAAATTCTTTCTCTTCAAGTTACCCTTTTAAAGGGAGGTTCAGGTGGGGCAAAATGTAACATAATTATGGGATATGTATGCCCTTTTCTCATTTGCTGTCTGTATGGAAGTGTTTTCATTAGTTTCATATGCCGCCATCTTAAGCAGCTGTCATCAGACGTCAAATAACGTATATCCCGCCATTTTATACAGACATACAGAGATATCCCTTAGGTTACACTTACCCCTTGTTACACTGTCCCCTGCTTGACCCAAAGTTTTCATTCGCCCTAAGTTCAATAAGAGTGCTTCGTTATAGTTACCAGGTGTTAATCTCGTAATCAATGTAAATTAGTGTAATAGCCACATAAAGTGGTGGTTCCTGGTGCGGTCGGATGTGATGGCCCTCGTATCGCAGCCGCCAGCATCTCCGAGCTGCACGGATTGTACACACTATAATATAAATTTGAGCGAATTTTAATCCTGCGGTCGCAGTCAGAAAAGTCAATCAACTTTGAAGTCAAAGCTATCTGATGCCATCACTTTCTTTGCCATATCAATAGAACGTGACAACATGTGACGTAGTGAAACATTAAATTATTTTGACGTTTCTGAGTATGGCTACTATTCAGTTGAGCTTTAACTTTCGTGATGCAATATTCAACAATGTGCCCTATGACCATGTCCACTATACTAGCCTGTATAAAAAAAAACTTCTTGATTTTTAAACCGTACCTTCATTATTTCGATTAATATTATATTTACTTGTAGTAAGATATTATAATTTTATTGTGACTGTATTAGTAATAAATTCTTAAGGACGACCTCCGTGGCCGAGTGGTTTCATGGTGTCGCCGACTCGAGAAGTCCCGGGTTCAAATCCCGGTGGGGACAGATGTTTGTGTGATGAACACGAGCATTTTTGTACTTCAGTCATGGATGTTTAATATGTATTTCTATATAATTATACTTATATATGTACTATATATGTATTCTATCCGTTACCCATCCCATCCCATAACACAAGCCTTACAGTGCTTACTTTGGACTAGGCTAATTGGTGTGAGTGTTGGAAGTATTTATTTTTTATTTATTAGGAAATATAACAAAACACCAATGATATAATCGTTTAGGGTTTATTTGCTTTAAATAGAAACCCCCTAAAACACAAGTTATAAGTAAATTTTCTACACTTTTACTTATTTCGACCCGGCTGGCGGTCCGATATACTCTTGTTTCATAAAACTTATAGTCTAACGTCATTTAAAAGAGTACCTATAGCTTGAGGTAGTATCATTCCTGACTGCTCTAATCACATTATTACCGTGATGAACAAAATCAACTTTTATAGCTTTCGCTACAACAAAACTGATATCTTTCAGTGGATCAAGTCTTAGTTTTAATAACAATGACGTCCGGTCGTTTTCACGCGGTATAACTCTACGGGCGTCCAATTTTAGCGCCATATATAAGAGAGGCTTTGTTTTTTATCCGCATAGTTGGATCCCATACTCGAACAAGATATACAGATTCGGTGTGTTATGAAATAAAGTGTTGTACCATGTATTATTGGACTCGCATAACTGTGGTTGTGGTGTGTGTGTGTGCAGTGGTCAGAAGTCAGGTGATACCGGGAAAGTCGAGAACTAACGATGGGGAATACAATGAAGTTAACACAGATGGATCCTTTGATTTTGGGTAATTGGAAAAGTTATCATTAGATAGGTAGATAAAAAAAAACATTTTGTTAAAAGATGCAACTACTTGATTAAATTTTTGTGTTAACTAGATTGTTTAGCTTCTTGAAATAGTCCTTGATTTTCATACAAAAAGTTAGTTGTAAAAAAGTGTTGTAAAGTTGTAGGCATTTGTTATAAAATAATGAAGTAAAGTATTCATCACATTTATAAGATAAAAAAAAGTATACAAAAAGTTTAATTACTTAACAATAATGATTTTCTGAGGGGTATTTTAATAATTATTTTTTTCTAGTTATATTTTCTTTAGATTTGAACATCAAGCAGTTACATGCTAAAAATAAAAATTATAATTATTTAATGCCAAGGAATTATTTCTGAGTTTGTTTCACTAAAATATTGTACTTCCAAAACTTTTATTTCTTATCTTTTCACGCACAATACTCATTAAAATCATTCTCTTTTGAACGGACCCTGTGAAGGATCAGAAACAAAGAGATGCGTATAAAACTAGCATAAAACTGCATAGAAAATATCGAAACAACTCCTACTCTACCAACAATTTTGTTCTTGTTTTACCAACTTTTAAATGGTTACTAATAAATACAATATTTAATCCAGATATTCGAACAAAGACCGGGGGCAGAGCTACCACTTGGCGCATGGTAACGCCAACGGCGTGGTAGGTGGCAGGTTCGGTGCCCGGGACCCCGCTACTGACACCGTCAAGGAAACTATTTATACCGCAGGACCCAGAGGGTAAGTAGTGTAGCTACCTACCTATATCTAATATGGTCCTGTCCTATTTAGACTTTTGCTATTGTGAAAAGTTAAAGGTACCTAATACTATACCTTTTTTACTCACCAAATCCACCAAGCCTAGACTATTTAGTAAACAATGTATGGCCTAAATTTTAATACATACAAATACAAACTTTTATATACATTAGTTATTTACTTATATAAGCACGATTGTCAAGAAATGAAGAGCCATTTATTATTGGGAATCCATCATTTTATCACAATTCCTTTCAATGATTTTCATTGCCCATAAAACGAATTGCAGAACTGTTTTTTCAATATTTAACAAACCCTAGAATTAGGTTACATCGCATTTTCGTTTCCTCGAATATTTATTATCTACAAACACAGTTCATCGTTATTTCTTTCCACGTTTTATATATTTTATCGAAATAATGTAACATCGAAGTTTTGTTACCCATATTTTTGTTTCATCGTAAGTTTCAGTTTGCAAAATAATGGAAACATTAATTTTTACTTTAAAGAAATCAATATACTTACATCGAAAAAACGATTTCATGATGTCTTTAGTAACAAAACGGGCTGAACTGTACTTCCATGGCCCAAGTGGTGATACTTCACACTAGGTTAGGTTAGTGTTGTGAGCATAACGCGCGAGCCGAGCGAGCGAAGCAAGCGTGCCGCGGCAGCGGCCGGCGAAGAGCCAAAAAAAATTTTTTAAAGAGTGTTTTACAAATATAATTCGTCATTCGATGAAACGTTACTGCTATAAAAGGTTGTTATGTGAAAAAGTATTATGGCTTTCGATACATTTTGTAACATGTTTTAAGCATAGTTTATCGATAACTTAATACTTTTACGAAATGTAAGTTCGATATAACGTTTTTCTTGTATTCAAAACCACTTTAAAAGTTATTTTCAAGAAACGTTTTTCTATGATATAAAACAGCGATGATTATTATTCGATGAATTGAAAAAAAAATAATTTCGTTTAACAGTTTTCGGTAAAATGAAAGTCGATATCAAAAAAATCTGTATTCCTATAGACACCCACTTTTATCATAATATATTTGAATTACTTTAGCTATTAAATCTTCATCACCTTTCATAATTGATTTAATATTTTTTACTGGACTGAACTTAAAGTTCGTTTCGTGATTTTGAAATTAAACTTAAAATCACAAACTCGTTCACTACGTACTGTAATGCACTTACAGTACGTAAGCGTATTTGTAAGTGCAACAAAAATGACACTAACTTTTTACTATAGATTCCGAGCGAAAGGACCCAACGTCCACCGCAAAATGGACTTGGACCAGCGCCCCCGAGGCCCCATAGGGAACAAGGACGACCCTAACTTCGACCCAAATGAGGACCCCAGCTATTCCTTCAAGTTCGACACCAGGACCTATTCGAAGAACGAGAACGCTGACAGCAGGGGAGATGTGAAAGGTAAACAAATAAAAACGTTGGGACTTTAATGGCCACACTCAGAGCAGTCAAAGTTACTTTTAAGTTTGACTGAAATTGATACTGTTACTGGGTTTGATAACATGCCACCTAACTAAACATTAAAATTAATTTGACGTTTCTGAATAGGTAGGTATGGCTGTAAAACATTTATTGAAACTTTATACTGAAAGATTTTTCGTGTTTGATAAAAATAAAACAGGTAATCTAATCAGTTCTTACAATAATATAATATGCTGAGTCTGATTTTAGAAAACTTAGATATGAGTCCAATAAAAATTGCGATTTCTTAATTGGTAAATCAAAGTAACTTCGCAACATCTACGGCTGTAGCTTAATTGTCAAGATGCGCTAAATTCAATTAAAGTTTTCGTGCATTTCCATCCCATTCCTATTATATTCTAAGTATGGACAGATACATTGTTTCGAGCTATTATGAGTGATGAGACAGCACTTAAATCGTGCTGAAGGTCATTCAATAAATTTAATTTTACTTAAGTATGATTTTCGAGGAAGTTTTAGCTACAGATGAGGTATAACAATAACATGCATAATTATAAGCTATCAAGTAAGGATACTTGTTTAGAAACGCAAATAACTCCATCATAATTTAACTATGCAAACAATTGCATTAACTTTATGAATTCATGTTGTATTTGAATATTGAAAGTCATTATAAAATCTTTATAACTGAGTTAATACAATGGGTGAGACCTTCCGGAATGCCGGCAACAAACGTTAAAAATGACAATTACATTGAAGATAAAAGATTGCTGTTGTGATTCTGTAAATTTTTCTCGTGCAAAACACCTATTGTATTTGTTAAACTTTTGAGTAGTTAACACGAGAGGCCTAAAATATAAAGATCGATTTAACTTAATTATCATTACCCATTTAATTTAAAAGTTTTTCAAAATGATAAATAAGTAATTGTATTTTTCGGACGCTCTATTTCTATTGCTCATTCGATAACTTGAACTTAACCTTTCCGATTTCATTAGGTAATCTAACTTAAAGTTTCCTAATTCTTTGTAGAAGTTTCTTACGGAAAAGCGAATTACGAAGGTTGCGCAGAAAATCATAAAATTTTAAGAAAAACTTCCTTACAACTCTACCCGATAGGTTGTGCTGCGGTCGGATTTCAGTTTTTTTCTTATAACAGGACTTGGCTTTTCGTACACTAGTGATATATAAAACCTGCAAATTTAGAAAATCATCAGTTGGTTATCATTCATTCATTGACGACCTCCGTGGCCGAGTGGTTTATACGCCGGGTTTCATGGCGTCGCCGACTCGAGAGGTCCCGGGTTCGAATCCCGGTGGGGGCAGATGTTTGTGTGATGAATACGAGCATTTGTACTCCAGTCATGGATGTTTAATATGTATTTTCATATAAATATACTTATATATGTACAATATATGTATTCTATCCGTTACCCTAGTATCCCATAACACAAGCCTTTACAGTGCTTACTTTGGGGCTAGGCTAATTGGTGTGAGTGTTTGAAATATTTATTTATTTATTATTTATTTATTTATATCATTTTATTCGTGCTACTCGTGCCATGCTTTGTTAATGACAAATTCTTCTGGGGGCCATTCGCCTAACGGAATAGAAAATGCTAACGCTTTCGATTTTATTTTGTTATTTCTGACCGCCGAAGGTTTTCAAATACCTCACGCTCATTTTTTTAATATTGTTATTACCAATGTAAAAGAAAACAAAAGAGCGCGAGGCATTTGAAAACCTCAGTCGGCTAGAAATAAAATAATGAAATCGTAAGCGTTAGCGTTTTCCATAGCATTTCCGTTAGGCGAATGACCCCCTGGTAATGGTATAAGATCAGGCATCGTCAAGAAATGTAATATACTTTATGTTTATCCCTCCAGGACATTATTCTTTCGTCGATGATGTTGGAGAGAGGCACGACATCTCGTACATAGCCGGGCGTGACACTGGTTTCCACGTGTCGTCAGCCCATCCTGACGGGCCAAACGTCATCGGCTCACCCTTCCATCGGGCGCCCTTGGTCAGGGGTGAAACCAGACCACGAGGCAGAACTGCTGTGCAAAGAGGACTTGATGGGTCTTATAGGTAAGAATGAGTTATACCATTGTCGATTAAGGCTTACTTTCTATGTAAAAGATATCAATAATACGTAGTTTTACGCAAGCCGAGACAAAATACTTTACTTTTATACATAACTACACATCATATCTTTAGATGGATCAGAAAGCTTCAGCAAGATACAGATAAAATACTAAATGTATGCTATAAACGTAGGTAAATTGGCTCTATTGGATAAACGTCTGTAGGTTACTTTTAATTACAACTTGCTCAGACTCCTAGACAAATGGGCATTTTTTTCGGTCGAATGCTGACTTTAAAAATGTTTTTTTTTGACTAATTATAAAATTTCATGTCAAAAGCTTGCCTATACCCAATATCCCATACGGTCCTATAAATAGTAATTGACTGCTTTGTGAAAATGTTCCTGGTTTTGCTTTATGCAGGTTCATATCAGCAGGCCCTGATCAAAGAAGGACAGAGAGCAGTGACTCTCATGGTAATGTCAGAGGTTCATACACATTCTTAGACGACAAAGGAGTACAGAGGTAAACCACGCTGTTTAAAATACTTAGTTACCTACACCAACAATTTATTTTTTTATTGTCATCATAATCTCGTGTGAAAATCTTATTGATCATAGTGAACTTATGTTGCAGAACGGTACATTACATAGCGGGACCCGGCATTGGTTATCGTATAGTGAAGAATGGAAAAGACCCATACATTCCGGCGTATTTCCCGACGATCCCTAGTGCTTACGATCCAGACTTCATTAACGCTGGTGCAGCTTCAAATTATTCCCCCGATGACAGTAGCACTGATGATGTTTTCAAGGGTAATTTTTTGCTTATAAATAAGTACAAATGTGACTTCAAGTAATTATAATTATACTAGTAGCCCGCCCTCGCTTCCCTTCGGCGTATACTATAATTTTTATTCTTTTCTAGGTTGATTCTTTTGGAAAAAAAAAATCAAAATCGCTTCAGATCCAGCGATTACCCCCTATACAACCTCTCAAGCTTTACCTTTTTAATATTAGTAATACAACTAGTAATATCTAAAGAATTTTCAACATACTTGTCACAAAATGACAAATTTATTCACAACGAACTTATTATTTATTTATTTATTAACAAATATAAGCTTTAATTTAAATGACCCCTAAAGATACAAATCCCTTTTGTTTATTGTGTACAAAATGCCCCATTTTCTGTTGTTTAGGCCCAGATGGTACAGCAGCATCGGGACATATAAAACCTCCGCCATTCCCTAGCAATGACAAAGACAGGCCAAGTAATAAGCCCTCTTCCGAGTCCACTGGCTCGGGGAGCGGATCCGACAACTTCAGTGGGTCCAACAACTATGGTGGATCCGACAGCTTCGGTGGAAGCAACTTTGGCGGGTCAAACAGTTTCAAACCCACTGGACCAAATAGTGGCACTTCCGGAGGGTCCAGTGGCTCTAGTAGTTCTAGCGGGCCTGGCGGAGACAGTTCCAATGAAAGCGGTTACCAAGGCTCATCATTCGAACAAGGCCCAGTCAGTACAGGCGTCGGTTATGTCGACGAAGATGCATCAAGTTTCGGAGGCGCTGTCAAGCCAACTAAAGGACCAGGTGACGAATAGCACGGATCACGGCAAAGTGATTGTTGCTTGTGATCTTGTTTTATTTAAATCGATATTAATAAAAAACTAAAAGATTATTCTGATGACAGTGGAATTAGTAATCATATGGTCGGTCTTCTTTTAAAATATAAAAAAGACGCCTCCGAGTCATTGAATATTTCACATATAAATAACAAGATCACAACCGATCGAATTGCCCAGAAGGTTGAAGAGTTGCACTGTCAAATTGAAAATAAGTTTATATATTTTTAAGGATGATATTACAATTGCTTGAACGCAATAAAAATGTTCACAACCAATTTGGTTTTTATTACACCAAACACCTTACGGCACCACGCACAGCTGTCAGCACCGCATTAGAATTCAGAAATAATTGCATATTACAGGCAAGCCGGGGCGACCTACGAGCAAGCCTAAACCTTATAGGCCGACGAAGAAACCATATGTGCCACTTAAACCTTTCGACAGTAATAAAGATGACAACGCCGGGTTTGATGACGGGAAGGGCGACAATAACGGTCCACAATTCGCTATAGGATTCAATATTCAGCACAATAAGCCGGGCACTACGATCATAAGAAACATAGGCAGAGATTACTTTGGGGTACCGCCCGGTGTCTCAGTCAGAGCACACGTGCAAAGCATTGATCTATATCCGTTCGACTCGAAACCTATATCACCTTCCGAAGCGATCGAAAAGGACAAAACATAAGTAACCAGTAAAATACCAATTAGATATGCAAATATTATTTAAGTACTGTAAATGAAACGAATTAGCATTATTTATCGAATAAAGATGTAACTAAGCAATGTAGCGTTTGATTTCAGATGTAAGAAGAGAAGAGTCTAATTGATCTGGGTATGATAATTAAAAAATAAAATTTATTAAGCACGTGAAACTACTAACAAAAGACTTAAAATATAACATTATCCTCATATTCAAAAACAGACTATGTAAATCAATAATACAAAGGGAAGAATCTAGTTAGTAAGCACTTGTATATATCTATACAAATTGAAAAAAGTAATTTAAAATCGATGGCTATTAGGTATTCCCAATAGGTTGAAAGACATCTTTATTTTATTAGATAAAGAAATACTACATATTATAGGGCATCCTATCCACCACAATCGTCGGTTGTAAGAATAAGTCAAAAACCACTCTAAAATACTCCCAGTTCTGCAAATAAAACGCAGTAAGTTATTTCTTAAAAATTTATTCGAACAACACGACTGTTAACAAAATGCAAAACAGTAACTTACGAGGAGTAGTTGGTTGTGTGTGGCAGGCGCACTCCGCTCCTAATCATCTCACTCCATAACGTTTACTATGCAAAAAGGATGTAAATGTAACGGTACTGAAATCACCGTCCACTTTGCTCGCTAATCATTACAATGAACCTTTTAGATTGTACCACAAACAAGTTAGACACTGGTTTAAACCGAATTTGAACACATTTTGTACAACAATAGGTCTGATTCTGACGTGATCCTCCTGACCTTGAAACTATACTATAATTATTTGAAAGCAGCAGATAAAGAGCAGACGATCGTCAAATTTAGATTTAGCTAGAAAATGGGCCTAATTCTGGCATGATTATCTATCATACCAGAATTAGGCCCATTTTCTTCCTAAACAAGTGACAAATGCCTGACGAAACTTTTTTGTGGTACGCCTATTATATTATATCCATTGAGAATTTCGAGTTTTAACTCTCAACAATGAAGGGATTTCTAGAAACAATAAAATGATTGACTGGTTGTGTAACTTTTACTTACTTATAGTGAAACTAACACGAAAATGTGATATCACCCAAATTATCATAGCAGAATAGACCTATTTTTTATTTTACTGCTACTGGTGTCGATTCTGGCGTGATTCGCTAAACTTAAAACTAAATTTATAATCTTTCTGTCCTTTTCATTCTGTATAGAGAATGACAAGGCTACACTGTTGTCAAATTTAAGTTTAGGTTCAGAGAACCGTGCCAGAATCGACACCAATGTAGAGATTCAAATGCTGGTTCGATTCTTAACAAGATAATGGTGTCGATTCTGGTAAGGTTGTCTAAACCTTAACTTAAAATTGACAACAGTGTATTCTTGTCATTCTCTATACAGAATAAAAAGGAGAAACTGATATTAAATTTAGTTTTAAGTTTAGATACGAGAATCATGCCAAAATCGACACCGTCGTTGCCTTACATTAAAACAAAAAGAGAAGATCGGTACGCTCATACTAGAATCAAATAAAATATGCTTCGACTCAACTATGTAAGCAACTCTCCCACACGCACACTTCTGTAAATAAAGATTCGATCGAGCGAACGAGATTTTTTTTCTCTCTCTACAAACGGTAAGTTGTATTTTTGTCCTTTTCGTTATAAAAAATGGCGAACCAGTAAATAACATTCATGACATACCGTGATTTTTTAGTTTTTTTTTTATCGTTTTACGCAATGAAAAGTGTTGCCGTGGAATTTGTTATTTGATCTTCAACTATTTGTAATTTTTTTTAAAGAATCGAAGGCATTGCTTTATTTTGAAAACACAAAATATGCGCAATATCGATATATTGAGCGCACATGCAGCGTGTTTGGATGTCAAATTGTGACTAAAGCGAATTGTGTTCATGCACCACAATTTAAGCGGTACACTTTGAGCTGCGAGTGTCGTATCTTCCCTTTTTGTTTTAATCTAAGGTTGTTGCTGGCACTTTACATGGCAATTCTTATTTTTCTATATATAATTATTACAGTGATCATGCTCTATAGAGAGGAATGAAAAGAAGTGCGGGTAGTTACACACATAAGCGGGCCGGCAATATTCGGCACAGCCGGGCGGTAAAATCGAGTATATGTAGATGAATGTTCGAGAAAAGACCGCTCAGCTATCACTAAGCGGGCAGCATCAGCGGGCCGGCAGTAATCGGCAAGGCATGGTGAAACCGAATTATGTAATTGAATGTTCGGGAATCACAACCCGCTCGGCTAAAATTTTAGTTCAGCTAAGAATGTGGGACGAAGATGACGTGTTGTTAGTTTCTACAAGTTTTGTTGTTATTGCCGGCTCTTTACTACGAAAACCCCAAAGAATTTGGGTGAGAAGTGGCCTTCAAAATTGTTTGAAAACCGAGCGATGACGACCGAATAAAAACCGAACCGATTCGAGCTGAATGTATGTAGTAATTCCTACGAGTCGGCTTTATCGTTCCACAAGTACTGCTGATTCGAATGATGTGGCGACCCAAATGAAGCAGATCAAGTGCAGTAATTACTACGGGTCGGCTTTGTTGTTGGCCAAATACTGACGAACCGACCATGCCGGCCCGCTTAAGTGTAGCTACCTTGACTGTAAATATGAATGGCCACGTTAAGTGCAAGCAATAACCTCTTGTTAAGAATCGGAACCAGCATTTCAATCTACAGTAGCAGTTGAATATAAAGTATGGTAAAGCAACAGAACTGTGCAAATAGTAAGTATTTTTCAAAGACGTGAAAATATTTCGGACAATTACAACTAAAGCAGGGCGTTAGCGCAAGTGAGGTTCTAGACAGCAATTGGTCGAGCGTATAGCGTGTCCACGCTAATAAGCCATTGATATAACTTATGTCTGTAGTTTAATCACTACCTTTATGTGGTATAGAATACGGGGTGGCAAATTTCTTGAACATGAACCATGGACAACAGAGTCAGCCTGTGCTGCCAAGAAAACCCTCATTTTAGTCTACTGCACGAGAAAATTTGTCTGTCGCATTACTAAAGAAGGTAGTTTTCTTAGGTAGCGACCTATAATGTCAGCATTTCACATGCCTTCGTATTTGCTATTTGTAAACTTGGCAACGGTCTCTCCTTTTCATTATCTATAAAGTGTGATAAGGACAACATGCATCAAATGTCGTCAAAATGACAAATAGCAAATACAAATGGGTATGTGAAATGCCGACATAACAAAAATTGTGATTCTGGGAATTAAAATTAATAGGTAGATGTGCTATAATCGGTTAAAGATAAATTAATATGAGCAAAGTGTACGATGATTAACCTTCGCCGCAACATTACAAAGATCTAACAAATTTTATGAACAAGAAATATGGAAGTTCCCCACTTTGGCAAATATTGTGTTTCGTGTATTTTAACAGGATAGTTTTTGAGATTGAAAATTAATAAGACTAGAAATAAGTGATTTATAGGCTGCACAACTTGGTGAGATGAAAATATTGGATACCAAATAAAGGTAATGAAAATCATTAAACGACTGAAAATCCCTCAAACCGTTAATACTTTATTCCAAAATGTCAAGTTTAGAGGCGGAGACTGGGAGACCTTATGATGAGTTTTCGTTGTTTTTTTAATTTTAATTTTACTATTCTACTAAAACCGTTAAAAACTATCAAATAAATAATGATATTATAATATACCTACATATTCGAACTTAGTGCTTTTTCTGTATACCTTGTAGCGCTGCGTATTAAATGTTGGCCATGCAATTTTGCTTTGAACATGGAGACGAACTTAATAATAGTTTTCTTTTAATTGTATATATTATTATATATTATAAAACATATGATAGCCGACAGATTATTTAATCTGCTAGCTTTCGTTTTGAGAGTAGTTTTCGCAAATTAATTTGATTTAGCTCACCAAGTTATTCAGCCCAGGACGTGTAAGTATATCAGAATAATGTAAATATATTTTTTTAATAATTAACTACCTAACTACTTGATAGCGAAATTTTAAAAAGGACATTGTCTAATGCATATCATAATTTTCAAAATGTACATATTCGAATATAACTAGGATTGATCAAGTAAATAATATCTTTATTAGATTTAAAGTTTTGCAGAGTATTATGTTAGTACAGAATTAGTGCATAGTTATGAGAATTTCAGGAAAATAACCTACCTATACCAAGTATTTCTATGTTCATTATCATTTAACGATCCGTCTTTCGTGAGTCAAACTGTAGAAAATTCAACTTTAAGGTGAAACCGCACTAGAGCGACACAGCTGCAAAGAGGCGCTGCGCGGCTTTTCCTAATCGCACTATGCAGCAGGCAGCAACGCGACAGCACGCGGCAAAAAAAATTGACTAACGAGATGGACGAAATAAGCGAAGAAATTATCGTGGTAGCTTTATTCTGCGAAGAGACAGAAGAACAGAAAAAAAGACGCGATCTATATAGGTACATGACATTCCAAATTCACGTTATAAAGAGAGTGAATATCATACACTTTTTCCACGACTCTTGAGATACCGTGATCGATTTCATACTTACTTCAGAATGACAAAATGGAAGTAATATGAGTTATTAAAAATTATAAAGCCTCATATTGAACTACAAAATACAAGGTGAACGTAACTGACTGCCGCACCGAGCCTCTCCGCCGCCGGTAGCTATATCGCACTGGCAGCAGCGGAACGGCGCTGACCCCCTCAGGTTCGAGTGGTCTAGAGGCTCTAGACGAAGAGGAGATTCCCCCCGTGGGGAGATGCCATCCGTCTGGAATACCTCTAGAGGCACTCGCCAATTCTCGGCTTGAGGTCCCCTTAGGATCTCGCCGTCCCCAAACCCGGTGACGCTGTAAAGGTCATCAGCGACCAACAGCATACACACTCAAAAAAAAGTGGAGCGGCGCAGCGCGGCCAAATATTTTCCGGTAGGCAATGCTGCCGCGCCGCGTCGCCCTGCTGCAGTGCCGCTCTAGTGCGGTTTAACCTTTAAAAACCAATATTGTAAAGAAAGATCGTTATATGGTAACGATACTATAACTAAATTATACAACTTAAAAGGTTACATTAAGATTAAACTTTACCAAAGATAGAAAAATGTTTCAAAAGACTGTCTAGTGACCAAATAAGCAACCGGAATATCGATATTTGATTTTTCAAATACTTTCCCATCTTTGATATAAAATATCAATTACACAAAAGCATTGTGAATGCAAACTTTATCATAAATAATACGTCGATTGTGAGGTTCCTAAACAGCGTAACAACAAAGCATTGTGTTATTTGGTTAATGCAGGGAAAAACAAATCATTTTTTGTTAATAACAATCCATTTCTTCAAACGAACACTACGCTTCCTGCATGAAAGATAATTATATAAATTATTCATTTTGTATAAATTTATACTTATCAAACGCTAAAATAAAAATAACCATGCTAGAAAATTCAATCTTAAGACTGCGATTTATTTCCTAGCATTGGAGTAAATATAATTATCAAGATTTTAAGATGCTTACACGTGCAATTAGTTGAAATTTGATGTTTATACATACTTAACTAGATATAATAAATAAACCTTGAGTAAAAGGCATAAGGTTCTATATACTAATACTAATTGCACGCGTAATTTGACAAATAAATGGAAAATCCAATGACATTGCTAAGTTGCATTTTATCAACAAAATACATAACTCTACCTAACTGAAGCTTTGCTCCCTCTTACAACTAAGTTATTAATATAAAAATCTATACTTAAAGATAGAAAAACATCAGATAGAAAAAGGTTCTAAAAGGCAAACCTTGCCTATTACAAGAGAAAGCTGTTTTGAGCTAATAATATTATGTGCGACCTTAGAACTACGTACAAGGGGTATACTGGGCCCAAATCTATCATGATTATCTAAACCGAAACTTAAATTTGACAACAGTGTATCCTTGTCATTCTCTATACAGAATGAAAAGGAGAAACTGATATTAAATTTAGTTATGAGTTTAGAGAATCTTGCCAGAATTGACACCTCTGTAACTGTATATACAATCTTTTTTAGACCATTACTTCAAGGCCGTTAGGTTGATTTATTCAAAAACAAAAAGTAAAACAATATCAATTGGCTAAAATTAGGAAACTGGCTTCTCACTATGGCATTTAAAGTAATAAATATTTTTTATTTGAACCGTATACACTTAGTAAAAGTAATTTTACACCACAAACTATTGATTCTGTTGTTTGGCGCAGGATGCCACAGTGAGAAGACAGCTTAATTTATTTTTTTCGATTTGATCGTTTATTATATATGTAACAAACATCCGGATAATTCAATCAAACAGCCTGATTGATTTGTCATGTGCAATGCCGGAACTTCACTTGTATATTCGTATTTGTTGTTTGTAAACATGACATCAGTCTGTCTTTATCATGCTTTATAAGAAATGAAAAGGACAGACTAATGTCATGTTTACAAATAGCAAATACGAATAGACAAGTAAATCGCCAGGAATACAAAACAAAATTAGTTTTACGCAGTGGAAATACAAAATCGCTTACATGCCACTTAATTAACTTTACAGAAACGAGGAAAAAAGTTTGCTCTTTTTTCGCAAAAAAATCTAACTCGTAAATGAGAAGTAGCACCATAAAAATAAAAACATATTCATAAAATAACATTTTCTAAATTTCCTCCTATTAAAAAGTTACACAGTGCCTTTACGTTACGAATTGGATGACGCTTAAGCGGAAATCACTCGGTCCGCCATACATTTTTTGATAAGCAAACGTCAATTTTTTTTAGTTTAGTATAAATGTATTGTTTTGTTACTTGTTAGCGCCTAATACGTCCTCGCACAGGCCCTGCCAGAATACCAGCGCTGATACAGTGAGAGAGTATTCTCCCACTGTGTCAGCATAAGCTGAGGCAGGGTCCTGATTGGCCATCTTAGGGATATACTGTACTTCCAGGGCCCAAAAGTAAAAACTTCACAGTTTTGTTGGTTGTAATTTCACATTTTTGTTGTTAAAAAGGTTTCTGTTAACCACATTATTAAAAAATTGTCACACTTATGCACTGGTAGTTTTTTAGAAAAAAATATTGAAAATTTTTACTTTTCTTATCAAGTGGTGATACTTCACACTAGGTTAGGTTAGGTTAGTGTTGTGACCATAACGCGCGAGCCGAGCGAGCAAAGCGAGCGTGCCGCGGCAGCGGCCGGCGAAGCGCCAGAAAAAAAATCTATTAAAAAGACCTTCCTTTTCTACAAAAAAAAAACAAGTATCACCTTTTGGGCCCTGGAAGTACAGTTTTACCCGTCTTAGCTTTATGTTGTTATTTTTTGTTTTTAGGTTAAGTTTCTTCTTTTATTTTTTTGTTTATATTTATAGTATTTTTATTATGTAAGATGGCCAATAAAGGTTTTTCATTTCATTTCAAATTGCTGAATAGTAGGGCGTAAGCGCCATTGGTTCAAAAAAACACCAAAATTTATGTCGTTTCTGCGTTCTGAACAATAAAAATTTCAAAATATTGAATTGCTTAAGTAATCTTCACGAAATATAAACAGAACGACGCAAAAAAAATCTGATTCAAATGATATATATAACTCATTTTCGACTAAAGTGGCGTATAAGCGAATTTGTCTTTCCACTGTCGACATGGTGTGCCTTTTTCGTTGCATTTAAAAAAACTGTCTCTCTTCTCTTATCACATGTTGTGACTTTACTATCCACTCCTGATATAGCAATAAATATTTCATTTTTGAGCTGAGTTTTTGAAAATAAATTTCACTTAGAATACAAAAAATATTTTTAAAATCTGGGGCGAGTTGTATCTTGACCAAAATCGACTTTATATAAATGACTATTCGATTCTGTGTGGTGATTAAACTAAAATCATCGAATTGATTTAGCATGCAGCTAACCTTTCAGCTGAAATCGACCAATCTATCGACAAATAACCCCTTTAGAATACGAATATAAATGGAATGCTCTGCCTGCTCACGTGTTCCCTCCTTCTTACAACCTGGGATCCTTTTAAAGAGGCGTGAAGAAGCAACATGCAGGCCGGCAAGGTGAGGATGGCTGGTGTGGCAGGTAGAACTGCTATACCAGCTGTCTTCACGTCTGGACTTCACCGTCACTTAACATCAGGTTGGGTGGAGTCATTTGTCGGACCTATCTATAAAAAAACGAGCGAGTCTTACAGTAGCCTCAAATGATGTGTAACATTCGACATCTCACCTTAGTAAAAAAAACTCACTTCAAAAGCAATTATAACATAACATTAATTAGCGCGCGCTTCTCCTACTTCCTGTTACACATTTCCGTCCCATTTTTCGAAATCACTCCCACAAATTGCATGAAAGCGAGAGTCAAGATGTTACACATCAAAAAAAACGAATTTAATTTCTGATATTATATGAAATTTCTTTTCACTTTCAGTGTTATTTTCAAGCTTATAAAGTCCATAAGCTGTCGACCATGAAATTTTTGACTAGTGTTTCCGTTTTTTCCCTTTGAGGTACCCTATAGGAAGGTTCTGTGCCCTTATAATATCACTTTGTTGTCCGTCTGTCTGTCAGGACTCTTTTTATTTACTTTCAGTGTTATTATTTAGTGGGGGTTTCTACATTGCTACACGGCCGTGCAAATGATAAAGTTGTGATATTAGGAAGCATAATAATATACTTAATATAACTAAAAACCGAGCGTAGGTACCATCTGCATTACATACAAACATCTTTCGATTCATATCGACATTATACCGACTTGTCACCATTTTCTTCAGACACAATTTTGTAATAACGATTGCACACGGTTTAAATATACCCATAAAAACGTTCAAAATTTCCATATATTTGCATACTTTTAATGTATCTAAAAATTTGATCGTACGAAAGTCACTTTATCGCAATTCAAATAAACATTATTAGACTGAAAGTGCTTCCCGAATTCGTTTCACAGCCTTTATTTAACCTATGGCTCGACACTAAGTATAAATATACAATTCTAAATATGCGACTATAATACACTTGTAGGTATAGGATCAAAATTTCAAGCAATCAATAATTTCAGCGTGAATCAATAAGTGATAGATACTTATATTTAAATCGTTTTGATATAAGTGGTATAATCCACAATATTTTGAAAAGCTTTGCTTAATAATATGTTCGTGCGTTAAGTTATTGATTTCAAAAGTTTACAATCCCTGAAGACATATTTTTTTCATTTCTTACTATTTGATACATAACATTGATGTAAAAATAATAAATTATTATACTATCGATAATTCGCTGTTCGTAAATGTTATTCGGGATCAAAATTAGTACCGATCAGACATGTTAAACACTTAAGACAAATATCATAATAAATATTTAATAAACAAAATTTGCGCAATGTATAAAACTATATCTACATAGGTAATTAAGCATCACACTAAAAGCTCAATATCACTAAAAGCTCAAAAGATAATATTATAATAAAAAAGCAGCAAAGATTTGAATCTTCGCGGTTAAAGCACCAGTTCTTAAAGTGTATTTTTGTGCATATTCATTCAGTCTACATTTAAATGTAAAATTAACTAGAGATAAATTACGTTATTTAAGGTAGGTGGATTTACAGAAATAGATTTGGCTATTTTTTTTTTCTTAATTTATATAGAACTTTGAAAGTAAGTAAATAAACTAAATTGCACAATTTTCACAAAAAAACATTGAGTGCTTCAGCTAAACAATATCTTGCACTACTCTACCCAAAACATTATATAACACTTACTAGAGTAAATATTTTTATAAAATATTTCTGTCCATTGTCACAAATTGCCAAAACATTTTCTAAGAAATGAGCATCTAAAATTAATTATTTAGATTATATTGAGATAATAGATCTAAGTATACTTAGACTCACAATATTTCTTGGGACAATATGTAAAATGGGAGAGAGATTAAAAAATATTAATCCGTTCAAAATAAATGAGTCGGTAAATTGCTGCAAGTCAACCGCTTGGTCGAAAAGATATTGTGATGTTAATATGGAATATGTATGAAAAAGTTACAGAGATATCGTTCTAAAGGAGTGCAGTGCACAGTTTCAATGATAAGCACATATGACATAATTAGATCAATAAGAGCTGGACACACAACAATCAACCTGAGCTTGAAATCAGGATCTATAGAGAAGATAAGTTCTCACTAGAATTCACTAGATCCATCAAGTATCGAGCTAATGTATTTATCTAGTGAGAAAGAACGTTTTTTTTTAAATATAGGTGCTATAACGCATAAACATATTAAAAATAAAAACATAAATAAACATCCATGACAGATAAAGGCACGTGTTCACCACAAAAACATTTGCCTTTTCTTAGGGCTAACAGGATTCGCTGTTAGGATCACTAACCGCTAGGTCAAGAATTTAATTTTTAAAAACTTAACATCTGTCTATCTACTTTATAGCTTTCTAGAAAAACGGTTGTAAAATTTAACTAAAATCAGCACAAAAATAAATAAATTTGTGCATGCACTTTTTCATACATATCCCATTTTACTACAAATATTGGATATTCAACTATTGTTGATGTATAAACTACAGTAAAAATAAGTAAATACCTACCTATAAGTTTGTCTACAAAAAGTATAATTTTACTACTTACAATGTTTTGTCTTTATTAAAAATTGTGAACAAATTATTAATGAAGGTTTAATCTACCAACTAATTAATAATTTAATTTAACCTTTTGATTTCATTAATTGCTTTTGCGACAGACGGGATAGTAGTTCGGATTTTGTGAAATTGGGTTGTGTACTTCGAATTTATTTCGTACAGATTTATAAATTTGTATCTGGTAGGATGAGCAAATGTCAAATCACAGAAGAGGGACGACATTTTAAAACAATGACCATTAGTGGCACAAGTGCGAGTGAAAAAGCAATCAAATGTGGAAGAAGGACGGCACTATGAAAAAATGACGTTATCGCCAACAATGCCTTAAGAGCGAAAGAGATAACAATGTTCTTTTTTCAAATTATATCTTTTTACTGTTTTTGATACGTATATTATATAGAATTTTAACTTTGAGTACTACCCCATTGTCCGCAGGGATTGTAGTAATTCAAGAAGAATCTGAGTGGAAATGTATTCTTACCGCTTCGATTTGTATTTAATCACTTTGAACTATACCATTTATTTATTTTAAAGACTAGATTTCATATTTTATAATCTACGAAGGTTAGTAACAAGAAAATTATGATCCCAGAAATGTTTATGTTTCGTATTAGAAACGGGACAAACATTATCAACATTCACATTGGCACAGTAGTTAAGGAGATTTGTTTTGCTTCTAAGGCAATAAGTAACGCTGAGTTTCATCTAAAAACTACATAGGAAACGAAAGTGAGCAGAACTTAAAAACTCTACTAAATTAATAATATACACGTTACTAAAAATTTCCTAAAGGCAAAATTATATTTTCCCTGTTTGAATAGGTCTTCCCATGTTTTTCTTTTTTTGTTTACAATAATTGTTTCTAAAAACAACAGAATATAATAAATTCACATGTAACTATTATTCGAAAATAGTGACGTTGAAATAGTTGAACAGTGCTTCTCATTTATTAACAAGCATTTATTTAACAATGTGTACAGTTACTAAATTTGTTGCTGACAACACTGAGGCCATAGTACGAAATACGAAATCGACGCTTACAACTAATTTTGGTTGTTAAATTTGTTATCTTGCACATTGAACAACATAACAGGGGTCTAAAATAGCAAAATTGCAAGCTGAATACAGTTGTTTTCTCAATTTAAAGATACAAAGACTTTCATAAAACCTCAAAAGTAACTTCATCAAAAATAGGAAATCAGTCATCTAATCAGAATTAAGAGAATGCGTAAAACAGACCACATAAGACAAAATATAATCAAAAAACAATATCTCATTCTTAAGTAAAACATAATTAATATGTTTTAGACCCCGAAATCATAATACATCAGAAACAAAACAAAAATCATAGGCTTAACGAACTAAATCACGAAGCCGTTAAGAAAAAAAGACAAGTTTGACGTCTCAGTGTTGCCAACATAACAACAGCACGGAAGATTTTCAACGAACACTCGTTACGCGCGGCGACGCGTGCCGTACAGCCAATATTACGTGATCTTCATCTTCTTGCCGGTCTCTTCCAGCATTTCTCTAATCTTGGTGAGGGGAGAACGATTGTTCTCCTCGCTCTTTCTGACGTACGAAGACGGCAAATGTATTTGTAGCGGGTCCCTGAGGCGACCTAAGTCTCTTTCTAATTTATTTATCTGTAAAACAAAATATGCATATTGAAAAAGTACTCAAGAAAAATGAAAAAGGTTTGATTTGTAAGTACAGTGAAGTTATATTGACGGGTTCTTAGCGACTTCATTTAGTAGAGATTTGTATATGTATGTTCTCTTGTTCAATAAAACGATTTCAACACAAGACGAGTTCTTAAAATTGTATGTAGATTTGATTAAATTAGAATTTATATTTGTAAAGTGAAATTACCTCATCTTTCAGATGATTGTAGTGGTTAATATCGAGGCCGATCTTTTTCGCCTTTTTATGGAGTGTGAGCAAATGTTGTCTGTCTTTCACGTCGGGCAATATATATTCCTGGAATAATTGTAAATTCATATTTAAATATAGGTACATACTTGTTTTTCAAATATGTATACATTCACTGTCTATTTCAGCTGCGAACTACTTACAAGTAGTGCAAAAATAGAACAGCACAAATATCAGAGCAATAGAAAACATTTATACTTTCTTTTGCTTTGAGTAGATTCTAAGACTAATCCACTTTTCGAATAAAACCAACATCTGGGAAAATTAGCTTTAAAATTAGCTTAGTTCCTACTCAACAGTAAAATCTTCTATTTATTTAATATATTCCCAACAAGGTGCTCGTGCAACGAGGAGCTCAATGACGCAAGTGTTTAATGCGTCGGCTGCTATCGTTGAAGTTATGCAACTTTCGCAGTGGTCGGTCATTGGATGGGTGATCAAAAATGTATTATCTCGTGCTCCTCCGTGCTTCGGAAGGCACGTTAAGCCGTTGGTCCCGGCTGCATCTGCAGTCGTTAGCACCCACCAATCCACACTGGGGCCGCGTGGTGAGTCACGGCCCAAACTCTCTATTCCATCCATAGAGAAGGCCTGTGGCCCAGCAGTGCTGACATTAATAGGCTGATGATGATGATGATTCCCAACAAAGAAACACCAATAGCATAATTCACGAAACGAAAACACATAAGAGACAAGAACCTGCTTGGTCAGAACGAAGTACGCGTACGCGGCCATTGCAGTGCCGTACGTGACGAAGTACGTGACAGGCTCCATGATGTCCCACGAGTACTCCCACCAAGTGAGGCGCGCGAGAACCCCGAACTGCACGCCCATCAGGCCCAGACCCACCCACGTGAGCGCTGAGGTCCGTCTGGTCGTTTCCACTTCGAGACTCAGGCGTTTCTGGGGATTTTCACGAGAAAAGGGATAACTTCAATTCTTATGTTTATCACACACCTGCGTGAGGCTTCGGGTGGTTTTGGTACAGGAATTCGCTGAAATTAGCGTTCGAAATATGAATTAAGTACTTTCCTTCAGCTGCACATACAAATTTATCGTTTTCCACAACCACTTTTAGCATGTCAAATTATCGCCAGTCAAGCTATCGTCTCACGTCTATAGACACGCAGCCCGCTAATTCATAACGACAGAAGTAATTCAAATTTGAGGAGGAGGAGCTCGATGGCGCAGGTGGTTAGCGCGGTCGGCTACGATCGTTAAAATTAAGTAACTTTCGCAGTGGTCGGTCATTGGATGGGTGACCAAAAATCCTCTATCCCGAGCTCCTCTTTGCTTCGGACGGCATGTTAAGCCGTTGGTCCCGGCTGCATCGGCAGTCGTTGGCACCCGCCAATCCGCACTGGGCCCGCTTAATAGGCTGCTAATGATGAATTCAAATTTGGAATGCTAATTTTAGCGCATTTAGTACCAAAGCTCCCCGAATCTTCGACGCGTATGTGTGGATGAAGTATTTGTTGAATCCTTTCAATCATCAACATCCTATCATCTCATTTAAAAATCTCACGTGATATGTCTTTAATTGTGTTTTGTAATGATGCTGTAACATTTTTCATGTTATTATGAACATCAAGTTTATAGCCCTAATTTGATTTGAATAACGAACGACAACACTGCTATATAAGTTAAAAGGGTTACATAAAATTCGCCCTCACATCTAACTTCTCAATGAAGTCGTTGGAATGGAAACCCATTCGACGAATTATCTCTGTGAGTGTAGGGTTGGCATATACATTTTAGGATTCATCAAAAAGACTACGACAGCTTGAAATAGCAACTTAAATAATAACGTGTTCCATGTAAGTTTTATAAACTTTGAGCATTTTTATAGTAATAAATATATACTATATAATACGAGTAAATAACTTAGGAGCTGGATGCGAGTAGCCCAATATCGTTCTGAGTGGCGTGCAATTGGAGAAGCCTATGTCCAGCAGTGGACTAGGAAAGGCTATTGATGACGATTGATGAAATAATTTACATATAAAATAAGGTATTCGGGCTTCTCCGTGGTTCTGCAGGGCTATTCTGTAAGTACAAAATTACTTAATTACTTTAACCGCCAAATCGCCGGTGTGTTCTTAAAGAATACTGCTGAAGGCTCGTTAATAGTTTTCATCTGCAATCTGTGCCCTATCAGTAAGGACACAAATAGGCTGGTGATGATAATTAAACAAATAGCATTTAAAACGTTATGTAGGTGTTTTAATTAATAAAGTATATACATATAGTTTTAGAATAAAGTTTATTGAAATCGTACAAAATTTAACTAAAGAAGGCTTGTAGTTTTATACTGTTTTAAGTTGAATGTTTCCTAAATACCCATAATATTTTCTAATTATACAAAAGCGAAAATTCTTCAAATGTCCACAACATTTCTGCGGTGTGGTAATTCTAGCCTCAGCCGCGGTCAGACCGGGCCGGGCCGGTTTCCGGATTCCGGCCCAAACTTTTGTAACGAAATCCCCAACGAATTTTCCTTTCCTTCTTTGCCGAGTCTGAGTCGAAAATTTAACCAGATATTTTTCTTAGAAATTGACTATTTTCAGAAGCAATTTAATCAAACTTCAATATAAAATCGTCGGTGAATGAAAAGTTTCGAATATTGAATTATTCATCGCCTTGAAATGTTTCAAATTGAGATATTAACGCCAGTCGTATTGTCAAAGTAATAATATCTCTTTCAGTTTTTGTCTTTTATTATACTTCTTTCAAGAGGCGTCCTAATTTAAGCTGAAGGATCGTTTTGGTCCTTGTTATATTGTTTGCTTTTTAGGTAGACTAAATACGAATAAACAAGTTGTTGTTCGCTACAGTCATCTTACCATAACTAGATACAGTTTGAAGGAAATCCAGGGCAATAGGTATTTTGACCTGCTCTGACGAGGATAACAGTGGTTAGCACATCATCGGACGATTTACCAAAAATTCATCATCTCGATCAGCTGATTGATCAGGTTGAGACTTGGTTCAGGCACCTTATATGTCGACATACCTGCTCCAGGGGTTGTAGCTCGGAGCTACGTTTCATTTTGTTGCGTTTGATGCTCGCGCACGTTGAGCGCCTCGTACAGCTGGCTCACCAGAATTTACACTTGGTACAGGCGCGTTATATATAAACATACTTCCTCCAGGGGTTGCAGCTCGAAGGTGAGTTTCTCCAGCTGTGCATGCAGCTCCCTTTCCTTGCGGATCTGATATTAGCGCACGATGAGCGCCTCGTTCAGTAGGTTCACCAGAATTCACACTTGGTACAGGCGCGTTATATATAGACATACTTCCTCCAGTGGTTGCAGCTCGAAGGTGAGTTTCTCCAGCTGTGCATGCAGCTCCCTCTCCTTGCGGATCTGATGTTCGCGCACGTTGAGCGCCTCATACAACTGGTTCACCAGGTTTCGCACGTCGCTCAGGCGCATAATCTCCTCATTGCTAAGCCGTTCCTGTGGACAACGTAATAACAACATTAAGAAGCGTTTAAAGTGAAAAACGATATCTCTTTCGACGTAAGTTAAGGTTTCATGATTATTTTTAAGAAAAAATGGTGGTGCAAGCAATAGACCCTATAAGTTCAATTACCACATTGCCGAAAGGCACCAAAAATATTTAAGTACAGAAAGACTACAAAATTTTTGTCTTTACATTTTATATTGCAGTGGAAAGAGGCACAAACAATGGGCACGAGTCATATTTTGTATTTAAGTGTATCTGGGGTTGCAGACTATTATACATATATTTATAGCGGTCTTTCAGTGTGTTTCCAACATTGTTATTCAAAAGCCTGTGATAATTAAACACACCCTTATAATGATAAAGGGAAACAAGCGAAGACAGACCAACAATCTGAGCCAACAATAGACGCCCTAACGAGTTGGGGTAGATGGCGCCTCATACTAGGTAAATATTGATATGAAAAATCTATGTTACTTTTACAATTTGTAATATTAATTTCAGAGAGTTGCTCCACGATTTCTTTTTGGCAAGGAAGCATATTTATTAGTTGTTTTGTTTGAGTTTATGCTTAATATTTTTAAGCATATGTCGACTCTTTTTATATTGGATCTTTGCTATTTTTATTCGCTTATAAGTCATAGTCATAAGTTGTACTTGCTATTACAACTGTTTCTTCTTTATTAGGAGGACTGGTGGGGGTGGCCCGATTTTGAGTGAGTATTTTTTAAATTTTTGTGTCTACAAATTCTGGCTACTAGTGCGCTTGCTTATTGGGTCTCCACAACTAACCATTAAGCACCATTTACACGATGCAAGTTTCTTGCCCGTTTCATACAAGTATTGAATTAATTGAAGCAATAAATGACTTGCGTCAACACGTCAAAAACGTCTAAAGAGTACATAGCATTCTTGGTGTGGTATACAAGTTTTGCTTCAAAACTTTTCTTATTGTAAACAGCACATACAATAATTACTTAAGCAGCTCTTGTATTCAATTCTTGTATAATGCATAAACATGAGTGCAGTAAGTGACAGTTAACCGTTGCTGCTTTTCTGAGTCAAGAAATATTGAGAAAACGTCGTAAAAAAGAATCCATTAAATTATACCAAGAAAGTTTAGACTTGTAAACATTATCAATACCGGAACGTTGCCCTGAAGAACACAAAGCTGCACTGAAGTAACAAGGAAACTTGGGACTCATTAAACGAAGTCTTGTAAAGATGCTGCCAGCCTGATTAAGGATAATGCTAACTGTAGACCAAAAAGGAGTGGTCGCAAGGACTGCGACAAGCGAGAAGTGAAAATGGCCCAATAAAGGCACGCGCATACTACAACCGCGACGGGCCGCACCGCAATGCATGGCAAAATTGCGCCGAAGCACATTAGAGCCGTGGGCCGTGACGGGGCGCGTCGCAACTCGCAACGCAACTATCGAAACAGTCAGCCGTTGGTAGTTAAAAGCAAAGGCTAATTCTGACGAAGAATTATATTAAATCAAACTGCTGTTTAAGGCGCATAGCACACCGAAAGAGGCGCAGCGAAGATTTTGTATCTATTTTGTCAGATAAACTGGGCATTTTTCATTTATGCATAATAGGCAATGCGTTTGACCACAATCTCGTCGTCGTCGTCGTAGTCGTCCGGCGGTGGAAAGGGGAAGAGGGATCAAATTATGTAATAATTTGACACCGAACTCCTCTGGCAGTGATAATTGTCAGTTTTCTTCCTTGCTACCGAGATCTTAATGGCGGTGTGGAATTTCTCATTGATATATCATTAATTTGAGCATTTTTTTCTGATATTTCTTAGGCTGCAAGGCAGCATCTCATCGCATTGTAGGTAACCCACAATGTCAAATGAGCAGATATGTCATAAGCGCGCACGCTGCGAAGACTCGAAAACAGGCCAATTGGAGCGTCTTGACGACTAATAAAATGTCACTCTATGCACAAGAAAACATTAAAGTTGGAACAGATTTAAAACGCAATTACTATGAACGTTACATATCTACAGAAATAATATATCATTGTTTACAAGTATAACATTTGAAAGAAGAAAATAGCAATTGTAGTTTATATTATAATTTTTTAAGCAATTCATTTCTAGATGTATAAATCTAAAGTTAATTTTCTTTAGATTAATATAATATGTTGTCATTTAAAGTAAGGCCCTAAACTTTTTGATGAATTTTGCATTAACAATGATTATGTTAACCTAGGAACTTACCTATATATATAAAAAAGGGGTGAGTATTTTCTTACCATAAAATTATCCAAGAATTATATTTTGTATTTTAAATTCATTTATTTTTATGTTAAAGTTGTGGCAAATAAGCATATAGCCACTCTGATGGTAAGCGACCACCATTGCCTATAGACGCTTGCCATACATAAAATATCACTCGTGCCGTAGCTTACCCTGACCCAATCCCCTACCCTACTAGACTAGACTTTTGTAATTTACATGTTTTTGTTACAGTTTCATTACTTTTAACTACTGTCGTAAATATGAGGCAGCGTTGCGTTTGTTGGTACGACGTTTATTATGAAGAGAATCGCCGCTGCGTTCGCAGGCTTCACCGTAAGAAACGCCGCATTGCATTGCTAGCAATCGCGTGTAAAATTACTTCTTCGAAAATAAAATAATGTTATTCAATCAATCACATGCCATCCATGCCAAAGAACTGACACTTTTCTTTGTCGTACTATTCGCAAGTGGAATTCTTTGCCCGCGCGCGTGTGTCCCCCCATTCCTATACTCTAGGGTCCTTTAAAAGAGGGGTCAAGAAGTATTTCTGCAGGCCGAGGTGAGGATAGTTGGTGTGGCAGTTTATAACTGCTGCGCCAGTTATCTTCGCGTCTGGACTTTACCACTGCTAAACATCAGATGGGGCATAGTCATTTGCCTACCCAGCTATAAAAAAAATCCTCTTCCGCTCGTCGCTATTATCAACGACACCGAAGCACTTTACAGACAGTTATTTCACGACTTTTTTCCATGTGCCTCGCCGAGGTGTCGTAATTCCCATTGCGTTGGAAATAAATTACAGTTGACGCTTTTTCGACTTTTCTACTCAGGAAAACTTTGAACTTTAATTTTATGGCGAACTGATCATAAAATACGCCTTTAAGTTGTTTAAACGCTTTGTGCATTAGATTTCAATACATATTGATATATGTAATACTGTTTACTTTTCAAAATCGATGACTATTTTTACTCATCCTTTACAGAAAGTAAAAAAATACCATAAAGTCAACATTACAACTATACGTTGATAGAAGACGTCGAAAACAAAATCAAATCGAATCGAATTCAAACCTTGGGCACAAATAGGCATTCGCACGTGCATCAATGCCGTTTTTGCTGGCCGCTACAGTTATGTACTCCATTAAAAATAACTCCAATTAAAAATATTTATACGTGTCAAGTATTTTTAATATTTATAAAATTAATACTCTTGTGACTGTTGTTGTAGTGCTAACTAAGTTAAATTTAATAGTTAAGTAAATTCATCTCATGTTAACACGCGTTTATTTTATGTGTTATTATGCAAGTGTAGATACTAGAATGCAGATATAATACTTCCTCGGATAAAAGCTCCGATTGGAGCGACCTGTTTTGCCTGTCTTTTTAGACGAATAGACGCTTACGCTGAGGAGCTCGATGGCGATGGTTAGCGCGTTAGGCTTCGATCGTTGAAGTTAAGCAATTTTCGCTGTGGTCGGTCATTGGATGGGTGACCAAACATTTACTATCTCGAGCCCCGGTCCCGGCTGCATCTGCAGTCGTTAGCAGCCACCAATCCGCACTGGGCCCGCGTGGTGGCTCATGGCCCAATCTCCCTATTCCATCCATAGGGAAGGCCTGGGCCTCAGCAGTGGGGACATTAATAGGCTGTTGATGATGATGATGAGACGCTTACGATATCAAAACTATCACTCACACCGTTGCCTACCCTGACCCCATCCCCTACCCCGTGGAGCCCTGGAGCCCTTCTCACCAAGAAACATAACACCACCAAAAGGTACTGTTATTTTATTGTGGTCTTCTGTAAGGTGGAGGTTATTTCCCTAGACGGGCGATCCAATTCGAGCGGAAAATCCGCTATGTCCTACTTCTCTTAAAATTCTTTAACTGTCTCTTTAACGTCTGCTCAAGTAAATAAAATGCCACAATATCTTTTATATTGTTCTTCCGCTCACAGATAAGCATCGAAATATTTGCTTCACCCCGATTTGTCAGATTCTATGGAAGATAACAACCATCAGATTAATGGTTCCAACCCAACGTGATTGATGATATTCGGCAAGTTTTTTCCGCGTGTTTTATTTATTGTGTCACACACACCAATATTTCCCATTAATTTCTCTTTCCTCCGTCCGATAAATAATGGAGATTAAATTTAATTATTTCATTGACGAGTTGAGATAAAACTATCTAAATTGAAGATAAGAATGGGATAAATTGCAATTCTATTTTTTAAGGTTAACTTATTGTGCCCGAAATAAACATGTATTATTATTATTAAAAGAAAATAGCGAGTTGTCTAAATTCTTTTACTCTTTACTTAAAAATAAACACGTTTTTAATTTTCTCACTGTTAAGTACTCAAAAGTCAAAGAGGAACAATTATTTAAGTATTGTTAAAGCATTAAGGTGTTGATTAGGTGTTAAAAATACTGTCAATTCGAAAAATAAATGAAATAAAAATCATATTTCTGACGACGCATCCTGAAAAGGATGCGAAATGTCAAGTTCTGTAAAAAAGTTTTATAAGGCATTTTATACCCGTTGAATAACTTGTTTCATTTATTTTAACTATGTAAAAATACACATTTACCATAAAACATTATCTGTATTGCCATTAATTTAAATGTTAAAACGACATTTAAGTCGTACAAGTGAAAAATAAATTCCATTTATATTTTTAATGAATTCAGCGTTTTTTTCTACAGTACTTATGGTACAAGATTGGGCGAAGTTGTATGG